GCAGTGTTGTGCCAGTTCACAACTTTTCTGAACTAGTTCAAGTTCAGTTCATACATGCTCAAAGTGAACAGTTCACGTTCAAAGTTCACAATTTTAATTCTGAACTAGTTCAAAGTTCAGTTAATTTTCCTTTTTTTGTGAAATAGTCAAATAAATACTTTTTATATATATATATGTATATATCTGCTGTACACCCACAGGAGGAGAGTCTTTTGACTACAAAACAGACTAGATTTACATGGTTTTCAATGGGAGCCAAACGGAGTTGTCCCATCTCTGCTCACAAACTACAGACAGTAATGTGCCGCAGTGCTGTGTCTATACTTTATGTCAAATGTAAACGGTGTAAACTTTGTTGCTAACTCACCCTGTGTTTTCATCATGACTCGGGCACATGTAAAAAGCACCAGCTCACAGCGCCGCACCGCAACACAGAGTCGGGGTGCGTTCACAGACGGTGGAAACCGTAGGAATTTTTATATTTTGGCGGAAAAAGTGCCAGAATACAGGAGGGAGGAACTTTCTCTCGTTGCGTTTTAAAAGAGAAAACAGATTCCAACGTTCATAGTGATGTCTGCCGTTCATGACACATAATATGAACTAATTCACGTTCAAGTTCTTTTTTTAAAAACGTGTTGCGTTCAGTTCAACGTTCACAAAAAAATGAGCGTGTTCAATGAACGCGTTCTTTTGAACTCGTTCACGCACAACACTGTGGATCAGCACCATATACTTTTTGTTGGACACTAACTGCCCAACAGACCCTCCTGCATCGACAAGGAAAACATGTTCTGTATTGATGCTGCAGACTCACCTGAAACAGTAGCCACGCTGGAGGACCATGTGTGACCCCAGGAGAGGACCATGTGTGACCCCAGGAGAGGACCATGTGTGATCCCAGGAGAGGACCATGTGTGACCCCAGGAGAGGACCATGTGTGACCCCAGGAGAGGACCATGTGTGATACCAGGAGAGGACCATGTGGGATTTCAGGGAAGGACCATGTGTGATCCCAGGAGAGGACCATGTGTGATCTCAGGAGAGGACCATGTGTGATCCCAGGGGAGCTGGTTCAAGAGACTCACTCCTGACAGAAGTTGTACAATACAATACAATACAATACAATACAATACAATACAATACAATACAATACAATACTATACTATACTATACTATACTATACTATACTATACTATACTATACTATACTATACTATACTATACTATACTATACTATACTATACTATACTATACTATACTATACTATACTATTTACTATACAATTTATTCTTGTACAGCCCTAAATCACAACATCATCATCTCAAGAGACTTAACAAAACCTTTGAAATCACCAACACAGATCAAAGAATCAACAGTTAAGGCACAAAAATATACACACATGTATCGGTCCATATGGAGAGACCAATGTCCATGAATGTTGATAAATGTCCATACATGTTTTAGAATTTTAGAGTGTCCTGATAGATAGATAGATAGAGATAGATAGATAAGATACTTTATTGATTCCTGTAGGATCAATAAAAGTCCAGGTGTCCAGCAGCAGAAACACAAACACATAAATTCATCAATTCTAAATGTTTCTCTCTAAGTCACATGTTCTCCTCGGACAGATGGGTATACAGTCTTGCAGGCACGATATAATATTCAATTCAATGAACACAACACACAAAAACAATAATAACGAACACATCGGAGCCATTGACCCAAAGGGAGCGGGACAACCACTGACCACAAATGTTAATAAATGTGAGTGGAATTATATATATGGTCATTGTCCACTCAGTCCTAGTGGTTTTCTACTTGAGTTTTTCTGATTAAAACACTTAAAGATGCGATGAGAGCCTCCATCTGAAAGCGCTGATTCAGATTCGTGGCTAATCCAACAAAAAGATGAAGATACAAATGTCCAGTAAACTATCGTGCTGGGCCTCAGACCTGACATTGACTGATGCGTTTGTGTGGATAACATCTCGTGCCAAAGTACACAAGCGCGCACAAGACAGACTGTGACAAAACAAGTATGTGCCTCCAGACCCAGACGACCTGAAATGTGGAACGCACTATTTTTAATGATCCACTTGTGGCAGACCTCACAAAGAGTGACCTTTGCAGTGCAGTTTTTACAGTTTTGTTCCAAGAAGCGCTCTGGTGAATCACTGCTTTGTTGTTGTTTGGAAGGAAGAGTTATTGTCAGTCGTCAAAGTCATTTGCGGAGGATTTTAAAGGAGACGTATGATGCTAAATTGACTTTTTTCCACCAATCAAAAACAGAGCTGGAGTTGTTTTAGATCCATCCACGCTAATATCTGGGATTTGTTACTCCGCCCTTTCTGGTTCTAAAACTCCCTGTCTCTGTCCTGTACTAGTATGATGTTCTGTAATTACCAATATACCGCGAAAAATTATTAAATATGAGGTAATATTTGGTTGAATTTTGTGGTTTTATTTTAATTTGAGCACATTCTGTCTGTCTTAAAACAAGATTTTTTGCAGTGTACGTCATCACACTCAGAGCAGTTTTTTCCTTTTAGAACAAAATCAGCTGAATTTAGATTCTTTACAAATGCATGGCTGTGTTTTTTGGGCCGAGGGAAAAAAGCAAAGACACATGATCTCCAAAAGGCATGGAATTGACTTAATAATGTTGTTTGGTAACTAATGTTATCAACAAACATTTGTCATTTCTCAGAGAAAGTTTTTAGTTGTTTTATTTATAAGATAATATAAATCATGTATCATTTAGTTGTCACTTCACAGATGACTTACAGCTTGGTCGGGTCTTATAAAGGTAAATACTGTAAGTTTTACAGAACCGGGCATTAGTGGGAGAGGTTTTGTATTGGGTCATATCTGAGTTGCACGCAAATTTTTCTGAAAGCTAGGGCTGTGATCTTGCCTTTTAGTGATATTTTCTTCTCTTCCGTTTGTTTGTACCAAAAAGTTATGAGCGGAAAGTTTTTCCTTTTACCCTTGTTTTACACTTGTTTCACCATATTTCTATTATCTTGAGATATTATTTCACAGTTTAAAAAAAATCACAAAGTAAAAAGCAGACTCGGTTACAAATATGCAACACAGAGTTCAGCGGTTATGGCAAAAGAAGTCTGACTCTTTGGTTTCATGCAGGGGTGTCCAAACTTTTTGTAATAGGGCCACTTTAGTTTACCAGACTTGTCCAAGGGCCGACAACCTGGATAGAAGAAGTGTTTCGAACTTTAAAATCTGCTTTAATAAGGTTGACGTTGGCTACATTAGTAACTCCATTTTGTGCCACAATCAAAAACAAGTAACGAGTATACAAAAAAAAAAACAAGCTTTACACCAAGATATAACATTCATATATTGGTAGAGCGGAAGTTGGCTGTATGACATTGTGAACTGGTGTCTATGATATAGTGTATTAGCGAGGCAGAGAGCCAGATAACATGGCACAGAGGGTCGCATTTGGCTCGCGGGCCTGAGTTTGGACATGCCTGGTTTAATGCATTAACTTTAGTATGTGCCAAGAACGCAAACCAGCTAATATGCTACACCGGTCATTGAACGCTTTTTTTTCAACCTTTACTTGTATGATTGGGGGAAAAAAATATGGCACAACATTTCTTCTTTAAAGGAGCAGTATGTAGAAATCTGGCCAAAAGTGGTACTGCAACTCTCCCTGACTCGGGTTGCCAGATATGCAGACAAATCCACCTGGGACCTTTTTTAGTCCTGCGGCCACATGTTACCTTACCAGTGAGATTAGCTTGACGCAGTGAGTTCTGGCAACCCGGATCACAGACTTTCTGATTGGTAAAATGGTAGAGGGCGGGACATCGAAGTAAAATAAAAACATGATTTAGGGGCTGTAGAACTAATTAAGAAATCCAAACATCTTGGCTGAACTACAGTTTGAGAAGTAATCGAAAAGAACATGGCTTTTTAATTCTTTATGAGAGATTAGGGCCCTTTAATGATGACTTGACATGAAAATCTTACATATTGCTGCTTTAACCCACTAACAGTTGCTTTGTGTCTGCAAAGATCCAGACCCACAGTTGACAAAACGTTTGGAAATGTTGTTCTCACATGATTCTGCTTGACCTACTTTACCCTCTGCAGTCCTCTGGCTTAAACCATAATAAAGTTTAAATTGGACACATACTCTCGGTAATCACTTGACCCAAGTACAACTAGAGACTTGGAAATGAGTGGGGCGATCATAAGAAAAGATAGTGCGTCTCCACCAAGGTATAAGGTCAAATGCATGACTCCCCCGGCCGACCTAAAGACCCATCTAATCGGTCACTCTTTGAGAGGCAGAGACAGCAGCGGCGGGGGAGTTAGGAAAGAGGAGAGAAAGATCAAGAGCCAATGAGGAAAGTGAAGGGGCCCTGCAGGCATCTTAAATCACAGCAGGCCCCAACATACACTTCACACAGGAATCTGGAAAGACACCGCACACTTTCCACCAATGACCAGTGACCATGGGAGAGAGTCCGGGCTGGGGTGTGTTTAACGGCTTAAGCCCTTTTAACTTTTAATCCACTCCGAGATTCTGTATCGACAACGGTGTCGATAAACAGTCAGATGAAAGTGTTCGCTAACCCAGACTTTTAGATCCTCAATACGTTTGGTCTCTTTGGTCTCTTTGGTCTGTTGTTATCCTTTCGTATTTTTGTGGACAAATCAATGGCCCGTAAGTTCTTTCTGAGGCTTATTTGATTAATTTTGTTGATACACGGTGTGGACGTTCATAAACCATGTATTAGTGTGACATCACCATTGTGTTTTTCAATGCGGGAGAAGCCAATTTGAACAAAACCAAGCCGGAGCAAATTTCCCTATGGATTTTTATTTTTCAAACAATTTTCAAGCAGACATGTTGCTAAGAGGGTTCCTCAGTTTCCCCTGGGAATAAAGGCATCGTATTGGTCAATTCTTATATACTGTATGGCTATTATTTGGATTTACAAAGACAACGTTCAAGCTGATGCTAAGATGGTTGCTAAGATGGTTGCTAAGATGGTTGCTAAGATGGTTGCTAAGATGGTTGCTAAGATGGTTGCTAAGATGGTTGCTAAGGTGGTTGCTAAGGTGGTTGCTGAGGTGGTTGCTAAGATGGTTGCTAAGATGGTTGCTAAGATGGTTGCTAAGATGGTTGCTAAGATGGTTGCTAAGATGGTTGCTAAGATGGTAGCTAAGATGGTAGCTAAGATGGTAGCAAAGATGTTTGCTAAGATGGTTGCTAAGGTGGTTGCTAAGATGATGGCCACTAAGATGATGTCTAAGATGATGGCTAAGATGGTTCTTCTGTTTCCCCTGGGAATGAAGACATCTGATTGGTCAATTCTTATATATGGTTAATATATAAAATATATAATCAGGGGCTGGTGCTATGAGACTTGGGTGGCATCTCTGATTGCCACCCCCCTGACCCAGAAATGGATTAAAGGGTAGAAAATGGATGGATGGATGGATGGATGGTTAATATTTGGATTTACAAAGACAATGTTCAAGACAAAATGACAAAAAAACGGTTACTGAGCTCTAGGAGTTTACTTTTACATGTAAGTCAATAGGAGCCAGAGTGAGTTGGAACAAAACTTCATCCATGAGCTCTTCCCTATTGGGTTTCATTTAGCTCCTGGATTAGCATTGTCTGTTTTACATTCATTTTTTTGTGTATTTAATGCTGTTTTCTTGTCTTTTTTCTTTGGTGCCTGTGAAGCACTTTGGCAGCCGGTGTTAAATGCGCTATACAGATAAAGCTGACATTAACCATCTACATCTCAGAGTCTGATTGTGCTGCTCAAAATAATAAACATTAACGAAAGAAAAGATTATGGAAATAATTGTTGTGCGTCTTGTTTTGGTTGAAGAGTAGAGCTGTCATCGCACTTAGGCGTAAAGTCTTTGTGGTCCGTGCTTTTACTGCGGCGTTTCCTGCTGAGAGCCGCAATTATCACTCATCATTTACCATCTTTCATGTTTTTAGTTTGTAGCTTCTAACATAAAAGTGGTTTTGATGAGGCATTCAGGGCTCAGTATTTGTCACAGTACTATTAAGACTATTACGAGATGGGACTTTGTGGGGGAAATATTTTTTGACTGAAAATGGCAAATAAAGTTAATCTGACCCGAAACAGAGGCTGAAATAATGGAAAAGCAGGTTTGCGTGTTGAGAGCAGGTGAATTCAGAAGCACTGACCATGGACTGCGTCATATATTGAAAGTACAACCTGCATATTTCATACTGTTTTAATTCTCAGCGTTCACACGGAGCCGTGAACTCTGCAGATGAAGGGACTGTTTGCTTTCATAATCCTGTGTTTATGCTGCAGAAGAAGGTAAAATGTCTTTGTTTACTGTTAACACAGAGGAGCGCGGGGCAGCAGAGGTCAGCCGCTGCCCGAGATGAGATTTCGATGATTCAATATTTACTCATCAAACACCACTATTTCCTGTAAGCACTTGGACAAACTTTCCCTCTCACCACTCCACTTTTGTTTTTGTTGTCATGTAGCCGACCGGCGGCCTGTGTAGAAGCCGTGTTAGCTAACCTCGAGCGGTAGCGTAAGTAGCGTGTTAACAAACAGTAATCAAAACCCAGTAACTTTGGGTGTAACCCGTTGCCTGAAGAGAACACGCTGCCCGTAGCAACAACAAACTATAATAATAATGGTCAAATATGTAGAATCACAAAGTCCAACGCCGCGGCCAGAGAAAACTTAGCAGACGGTCACAGATTGCGTGGATGCGTACGTGATTTAATAATGTCCAACAATTCTGGTGCAACCAAAGCACACACAGAATATAGAACCAAGAACATTAAGAAGTAAAAAAAAAAAAATCAGCCTGCACCGACATGAACGACTCTCAAAGCTGAAAGAAAATGAAGCGACAGAGGAAGCAGGTGGAGGCCCAGATTCCAGCTGCTCTCCAGGAACGGGGAGAGGGCTCAGAGCTGTGTGGTCAAAGAGGCTGGAGCTTCTGTCATCACTACATTCATGCGGATACATCTAAACTGCTTTAAATTCCCTAAAAAGAATGAATAAATGTATATAGAAGGTCTTCCTCATAACACGTGTCTTGACTCTATTCTAGCCGACCAAGTGCCGTGGATCCTCTTTGCAAATGAGGAAACACAACCATGGGCTCTTTATCTGCTGCGTGTGTGTCAGAGTGTGGACTTTTTGATCGCTTTTCCTGGTTTTATTTTGATTATTTTGGTTCTTTTCAGAGTTACTTCATGTCTGTTCAATTGCCTGTCCTGCCCTCATGTGTTTCACCTGTGTGTAGCTGTGTGTAGCTGTGTGTATGTGTGTGTACGTGTCCCTGTGTGCAATTGTGTGTGTGCGTGTATCTGTGTGTGTACATGTGTGTACCTGTGTGTGTGTGTGTGTGTGTGTGTATGCGTGTGTATCTGTGTGTGTATGTGTCCCTGTGTGTACCTGTGTGTGTATATGTGTTCCTGTGTGTACCTGTGTGTGTATATGTGTCCCTGTGTGTACCTGTGTGTATATGTGTTCCTGTGTGTATATGTGTTCCTGTGTGTGTATGTGTCCCTGGATGTACGTGCGTGTGTGTGTGTGTGTATGTGTGCGTGTATGTGTCCCTGTGTGTCCTTGTGTGACCCTGCGTGTGTGTATGTGTCCCTGTGTGTGTCTCTGTGTGTGTATGTGTCCCTGTGTGTGTCTCTGTGTGTGTATGTGTCCCTGTGTGTGTCTCTGTGTGTGTATGTGTCCCTGTGTGCGTGTGTGTCTCTGTGTGTGTATGTGTCCCTGTGTGCGTGTGTGTCTCTGTGTGTTTTTAAATTTTGTGCTCCTCTCCCCTTGTTGTTGGTCCATTGGGTTTGTAGTTGTGTATCCTGAATTTAGTTATTTTTGAGTTTTTGTGAATCAAATCTTATATTTTTCAGTTCTGCATTTTGGGTCCTTCCTCCTTTTCGAAAACGTGACAGTGTGTGGCTCACATGATCGGTTCGCGCTTGTCTCCTCTGATCCTGAAGTTACCCTGCTTCAGACCGGGGTTTCCGTGTGGGGCCTGTTACCACGGCAACTGAAGCTAAAAACCCTTTTAAGCAACGGGAAACTCAAGAGTAAACCTAAACTAAACACCAAACCGAAACCAAACCGGCCTCTCGCCACAGGCCTCTGATGCCTGTGCCTCATCTTTGTCTGACTCCAGGGGCACACACTTACGGTCTGTGGCGCATACACACAAAGGACACACATTCACACAATAGCACAGGTCTACGGGTTGCTGCAGACCTGCTCAGGAGAGGCAGGAGTGTGCAGGCATTGTACTGTAGATTACCATCTCTCTACATTTTTGTGTATACAGTGGAGGCGAGTGTGGACATTCCTTCAGGGGGATAGGGAGGCTCTGGAGTGCATTAGTCAGATGTGTGCGAGCAGACAGCTATATGGCGCTGCTCCTCCCCTACTAAAACCTGAAAAAGAAGCCTGTCCTGGCAGATGTGCTGTCAAAGCCGGCGTCTTTCAGCTCCATTTGAAAAATAGTCTTTATGTCAAAAGCAGATCCTGGAGACTGGAGGTTCACATGGAGACGAGTGGTGGAGCTCCGGGGTTTTTTTTAGTCTCTGTCATTGGAGGTATTTGTCGGTCTGTTGTCATGTTTGGTGTCGCTGCTCGTTCTGTCGACTTCCTGTGAATATGTGTGTTGTTCATACCACACCGATATTTTCCAACCGGACTGTACCACAAACAAAGTGTGACTCATCAGGTGTAACAAGCACAAAGCCCATCAATATTCAAGGTGGGAGAAGCAGCTTTCTCTCATTATGCTCCTCGTAAATGGAACGCCCTACCTAATGCAAGCAAGTGTGACCTTGAGCTAAAGATTAAATTACGCTAAACTTGTTAAGACGCTCTTATCCTCAGGCTTTGTCGTTTTGTGGTTTATCTGGGGTGGAATGATGGCCGAGTGGTTAGCACTTCTCAGCCAGAAAGATCCTGGGTTCGAATCCTCCCAGAGTTTGCATGTTCTCCCTGTGTCTGTGTAGGTTTCCTCTGGGTGCTTCGGTTCCCCCTACAACTAAAAACATGTATAATAGGTCTGGCCTGTGCCTCCTGTAGGTGCCTGCTCCATATCTGTGTGAGTGAGAGGCAACACAACAATTGTAAAGCGCTTTGTGACTCTGTGATTGGCGCTACATAAATAAGTAAAGATTATTTAGTTACACACCTAGTCGCAGCTTCCTGTATGAAACAACATACATTCATATACATTTATTTTTCTTCATAATGTGGCGCCTTTGAAACAGAATCAAAGAACTAGAATGATGCAGTGTTGCTCCTGAACTGAGCCAGAAACAGCCTTCCTCACGTTTGGCTTGAATATTTCATAATGTGATATTGTCATGTGTTAGTGCTCTCCTCCTGCCTCTGCATAAGAATATATACCTTTTATTAAGCCAAAGAAATCACAAGCATTTACTCTCATGCTCCGTTATTATTATACCATTACACAAAACTATTTACGAGGCCAGATTCTTGCTTAGAATTTCAACTTCCTCTCATCGAAAAAACGCCTCAGTCGGAAAAGTCATATCCTGCTAATCTCTTTGACGAGGATTTTCACTATTTAATTAAATTTGAGACGGTTTAGCGGGCCTCATATAGAAGCAATGATGGAAAGTGCAGTAGAATAAAGTCTTATGTATGGCAGCCAGAACGACTGCCCCACACACTCACCACGCCTCCTCTCCGACTTCAAAGCCCGCTGTCCCTCGAGGAACTTCAAACGCATGAGATGCCATTAAAGACAAAAATTATTTTCTGTATCGCCGTGATTTATTTGATTGAAAAATGAAACCGCTAACCCGACAGACATAGCTTTTCTTTCCCAGGGCCGTGCTTTACCAGGCACAGGCTAAATTGTTACCAGGTGGGAATCCTCTCGTGCACACACTAGTCCAGGCAGAGAGCGAGAGGCTGAAGCGCTCCAGCTCATGTCCTGTATTCCATGTGCGTCTCTCAATGTCTTACTTTCCCGCTGTATTCTCAGCCGCCTCATTGTTCACTTTACCATGGACCTTGTAGCTGTGACAATGTCGGAGTCTTTCATAATGACAGATAAAAGACTTGTGGTGAAAAGCTGTGGAAGAAAAAAGCCCAGCCGTGAAATTTAAGCTAGTGGCAGACGTGATGGACGGGCTGCTGCAGACGGAGACTCGACCGGATCAGACTGGATCCTCTGCACAGGACCATGGAGCAACGACAGACGCACATTTATTTTAAAGAATGACGGAAAACACTGGGTTCATAATGAGAAGCTGCTGAATAGATAGAAGTGGACTTGAACAAACTTGTGATGATGAGGATAATTAGTTTCTGTTCCGTGTCTAGAACAGATAGGTCAAACTCCAATCCAGCCGTGAGACCATTTCTGGTGGTCCCTGATATGATCGTTATATCAGTAACTCTCTGCACTGTGGGTAATGGGATTTTATGGCATGTTATACTTCATTTTAAAGGTCAGTTTTTCAGGACAATAACCATACCAAGTAAAGTTTGACCAAATGTTTATTTTTTTTTATGTCTTCAATTAATTTTTTTTAAATATTTGGTTCAGTTGTGATTGAATCCAAGCCTACGAAACAGGAATATCGAAACTCATGTCAGATAAAATGAAATTTACAAAATACAAAAATATGTAAAACAGAATAATAATGATAATAAAATTTAACCACTTTTATGAGTTTGACAGTCCTGATTTAGACCCTGTCCAGGTCCACTACAGCAGGGTTTTAGTCTAAATCATGAGATCAATAATGGGTGTTTTTGCTTTTCAAATTCAATGTCTTAAAACATCATTTTAGTTGACCATTTTATTTTTGGACTATCAATGATTTATTGATGTATAAATCTACTTAGACCGACTGTATCCATTGTATTACATTGTCTCTTTTAAATTCCTATTCTTTCAATATGGACCAATCAAATTTGAGTCTGGAATAGATTTCAGCATTCATTTGTATTTATTTGATTTTTGTTTTTTATCGTCGGATATTCCAGCCCCCACTCAGCCCCCTGGTCATTATACTCAAGTTCAGAATCTGCAGAATTCATGTATTAAAATCAATACATCTATCATTGGCCTTGTTTCCACCGGACTCTACTCGTCTCTTCTCTGGTACCGTATCCTAGCAACCAACCCACAACAAACCATGGCTTCCAGCAGCTCTGTCAGTTAGAACACTTTAGTACCAGCTCAGCCTGGATAGAACCAGGACCAAGCAGGTAAGTAGTAAGTATTCTTTATTGATACAGCGCCTTTCACAGACTTGAGTGGCGCTTTGCAAAAGTACTAAAGAAGGACCCAGTCCTTGTTAAACGGGGCCCGTGGAAACGCTCAATCGGGGCAGAGTAGAGAAGAGTAGGGCCGAGTAAGGCTGGTGGAAATGGGGCTATTAATAACCATACAAATCTGCAGCAGCCTTTGAGATTCTAAACACAACTTATATCATTAAATTATGATATGTCAGAGTTAGAAAGGATGTGCTTTTAATTTCTCTATCTCTATGTGGAAGTGTTGGTGGCTGATCAAATATACATTAATCATAGAAAAGGCCAATAATCCTGTGATTGGCCGAACAGAATCGCAAAAGAATGAAGTATCTGCTCAAAATGATTCGAAGTGGTCGGCCCCTACTTGTGGCTCAGAGAATAGACTTTAAAACAGCTCTGCTTGTTACAAGTCTCTGCATGGCCTCGCACCAAAATATATTAGTGACATGTTAGTCCCATATGAACCAGCCCGGACTCTGAGGAGCACAGGGACTGGACTCCTGTTAGTGCCCAGAGTCAGAACTAAACATGGGGAGGCAGCTTTTCAGATTCATGCTGCTAAAATCTGGAACAGTCTTCCTGAAGATGTGAGACAGGCCTCCTCTCTGACAATGTTTAAAACCAGGTTAAAGACAGTTCTGTTTAACTGTGCATACAACTGAGGGATTTTATATTTTTATCTTTCTTTTTAATGTTCTGTGATAATTTATGATTTTAATGCTTTCTTGTTTTGTTCAGCACTTTGAATTGCCTTGTGTATGAATTGTGCTATATAAATAAACTTGCCTTGCCTTGCCTTGCCTACTTAATCTCAGACACTGGTCCCACATGAAACCATTCTCACAGTGACGATATCTGTGCAGAATGAGGCCCATACCGTAAGTTTGTCTGTTATCGCACACGTGTGTTGTTGTTGTAGCCCCCCCTCCCCTCTTTTCCTCTCCACCACTTCTTAATGTTATCTCACTTCCTCTGGGCCCCCACCGAACAGGGAGAAAATGGAGCGCTTTATTGGTACGCCTGTCAGGACCCCCCCCGGATTTACAGCCCGCAGACAGTGTTTATCACTCAGCCCGTAGAGCGGCGAGAGGGGGACAGGGGTGAGGAGGGGGGGACACCGGGAACAGAGCTGCTTCCTATCCCCCATTTGCATACAGGGGTGCTTAAGCTAACTGTGAAGATTTGTGACCCGGGATCATTAAATTATGACATATTTACGGGCGAGGCGAGAATTGTTTGTGAAATTTATTGCGTTGCTTGTTTAATCGTCTTTCTGGAAAAAAAGTGAAGAGGTTTTGTGCCTGAATTATTTGCGTTGTACGTGTTGGGAGTCGCTCCTGCTCTGAACGGAGTCTGTTGTTACTGCTACATTCACACTATTCAGCTCATACTGTATGTCATGAAGGCCATTCGTCCACGTGTGTAGAATATTTCAACAGCAAAGAGTTTCAATCGTCTGGTTAAAAAGCACTCTTTGTGATATGGTTGAAAGAAATAGTAAAACTGCAAAAGCATATGTGGCTCACTCCAAACTAAACTGTACCAATGTGTTAGATTTGGGTCAATGACACAAAAAAAGTTCTGAAATGTCCGCGGCCGCTACTGCTGACTGTTCTAACTCTTGTGTTGTTCCTTGCTTGTCCAGTGGAGGGCGCTCTACTTAACCACTGATTAGTTCACGTCTCTACTATTGTTAGCGCTCTAGCCGTGGACGCCAAATGTTACGTCCAAAACACCCATTTTGTCTGCAGTTATTGAAAAATGTGTTTGCATTAGCTGTTAAATAGTCGTCTCTGTCCGGTTAATGGTTCCATTCACAAAGCCTCCAACACAACATGTCCTATATGTAGATTGTGTCCCCCAAAGTTCAACATTTTTTTTCTTAAAGATTAATTCATAACGTTCATAAATGTATTTTATTGTCGCTTGAAGTTAGATTGCCCCATGGTACAGCTGAGTGTGAAGTGATCCGTATGCTTCTCCCACGACTCCCACTGATGATTGCTGCCGTTGTGTCCTTGGGCAAGACCTTTGGCCCCACTTTGCCTGAAATCCCCACTGAAAGATCAAGGCTGTGCTCTCATTGACAGAACACAGCCGTCCTCTGAGACCTTCGGGCTCAGAGGCCAATGCTCTACCAACTGAGCCAATGTCACCTCCACCCCCAGTAAGTTATAGTACCTCAATACTCTTTATTAGGAGTAACCGTAGCAACAGGCTCCTATCACTGCGCTGCCGAACGGAACATTTTAGAGATCCTTTTTTCCTTCGGTTGTCAGACTGTACAACAGACCAGTACGAATTAAAAATATGCACTATTGTTAGATAGTTAGTTAGAAATGGTTATAATTGATGGACTTATGTGTTTTCATGGATGTGTTTTCTGCTCCTGGACACTTGAATTTCTCCTACGCGGATCAATAAACTATCTATAAATCTATTAAATCCATTTCTACATCTTGCTCGAGTACATTTCTCTCCGAACAATGTCTAATCAATGTGAGTACGTTTATTCATATAGCACATTTTACAGACCAAGGTCACCCAAAGCGCTTTACAATGTTCCGAGTTCAGATGTAGTTGTAATCAAAAACAAATGCAATCAGATAATGTTGCAAAGTAATACATTTATATTTACATCATTTAGAAATCCCAAACTGCAAACTGCCCGCGGTGCCTTCAGCGCCTGCCCTTCTTACTTGAGCAAACTTTTTTTCCCACGCCATCCAGAAGCATCAGACCCGGCAGAGAGGCAGAGCGTGTGTGGCGCTGAGGCAGAAGGCCGTGATTACAGTGACCTTGACAAACGCGGTGGAGCTGGTCTTTGATGAAGAGCGCCGGATTGTTGCCTCTGCACCACTTCATCCCCTCTGCGGTCGGAGACGATGGATCGGGCATGACAGACCCTCTGCGCCGGCTTTTAGTGAAGGGGAAAAGGGGGAGGAGGCGGAGGGAGGGGTTAACCTAGTCATTAGTACGCCATGATTTCACTGAGTTACTGCGGCGTTGGCACGGCGGCCCGGTGTCCGCGGCCGAGTGCGAGGCGAAGGATTTCCTCTGGCCTCACATCCTTCTTCCTCTCTGCCTCTGAGGAGTTCCCCTGCTTCACACTCACACCTCCTCTCGCTCCAGTCCCCGCCTCAGCCAATCACCACCCTGCAGACCTCATTCTCTCGCTTTCCTCGCTCCTTTCTGCAGCACTGGTGTGTATTAAGATTTAATGCCCCCAAACAAGCTTTCTGTGTCGGCCCAGCGAGGGTGTCAGCAGGGGCGCTCTGTTCCACTCTCTGTCTCTGCTGGGAAACACTCTCAAAGCTGCTTAGGCTCCGAGGGGAACCCGGTGTTCTTGGGCAAACGCTTCCACGCCACCAGGCAGCAGCATTTTGGAAGTAGACCTTAGACCCAGCATGAGGGAGACTTTGAACGCTCCTTGCCGCACACACTCAACATGTGACATAATTATTGCCCTCTTTGCACTTCTCAGAGTGTTGTGTGTAATAATAAGATAAGATAAAACTTTATTGATCTCACAATGGAGAAACATGTTACTCTTGGCATAAATAGGATTCTCAGGGTGTGCAAAAAGACTGGAAATGAGCAAAAAAGTTAGTATAATTTCTGCTTTGTAAATGCTAATTAGAGAAGACTGAAGTGTCAGCCATCATTAGTTTTTTGATGGACTTGATTCCAAGGATTTTTAGAATCTCTCAGAACTCATTGTTGTATTACAAAGCATGTGTATTAGTATTTATTTATTAAAATCCCAATTATTTGTTGGGGAAATTTTGTTCTGCTGATCTGCAATTTCCCAAAAAAATGGTTGGGATTTGAATAAATCCCCAAAATTGCTCATGCATTAAAAATGAAAGATGGATAAATGTTGTGAGCACTGTAGGAAGTACATACTGTAGCTATTGAATGAAGTTCTCTGTATTGATTTAGTCAGAAAAGCTTGTCCTTGGATAAGCATGGTGATGGTTCTGAGAACTGCTGAAGGCTACAGTATGTGCATGAAACATGCAGCATTTTCTGATCATTTCTCCTTCCACTTCTGCCACTCACTTTGCACATTTCTCATTCAACATTTCTCCTTTATTCCAATACATGTCCGTTCTCAAAACCCTTAATCACAGAAGCCCTCCCCCTTCTGCTTGTGGCTCTTGGGACGTCCCGATACACTGCCCGCTAAATAATGAACGTAATCAGAGTCGATTAGAATAAGACACGGCTTTCCTTCACCGTAGTCATTGTGGCTACGCTGCCTTAGCTCTGGCCACTTCCATCGTCATGGCGACGTATACATCCTATTAACCCAAATTAAGATTTGATGTAAGGTGTCAGCCCACATATTCATCACTGCACACGTAGAATAATGGTTGTTGCCTGCTGCAGCAGTATTATATTCTGGTTCCATTTGAGCGTAGTAGTTGTTTATTTCCACGTCCTCCGTCGTCCTGAACAGAACGAGCCACAGCCACTGGGGGTCATCGTTCCTCATGGCTCTTGGGCTCCACGGCCTGGGTTTAAACTCTCCTCTCAGTATGCTTCAGGTATCACCTCCAAAGGAAAGTGATCATTGCAGTAAAAAGGTCCATCTGTCATTCACTGGTTTCTGGGTTTGACTTCATTGATTCCGGGCAGCGCTCCCGTTCAGTGTCTTCTCTCTCTCCGATCACTGTCCTTCATTTGTCTCTCATTGGAATGCCAGCGCCGTCCTTCTCCTCATTAACTATTTTGGAGCTCACTTGCAGCAATATGCTTTGTTGCTTTGTAATTCTCTTTCAAAAAGTCTTTGCCTTAGACGCAGGGTTGTTAAAGCCACATAGACGTGTGAGGATATTTCAAATAAGAAAGAACACTGGTTCTTTGGTCGTATTGGACTGAACTATGAACTTAAGTAGCATTTTTACTTTAAATTAACTGAGCCTACTTTTTCAATCACATCCTTGCTGCTCTAATAAGCAGATGTTGAAGATGCATGATTTTATGTTTTGTGCATCCCTGGTCTGTCTAGTGCCGGCGTGTCCAAACTCAGGCCCGCGGGCCAATTGCGGCCCTCTCTGCCATTTCATGTGGCCCCCTGCTGCTAACACAAAGCCGCCATTGAGGCACTTTGACAGTGTCATCCAACAAACTTCAGCTCCACCAATACAGTCCTACTATACCTTGTTGAGGACCAAAGACCCTCTGGAATCCAGTCGTTTTATACTGTCATTTGTTTTTTGATTGTGTCACAACATTCCAATTAAAATGCAGGTGTGGTGTGAATCAATAAGGACGAATCATAACCCATTTAGAATTCCAGAATCCAGTTTTTAAATCCAGGTTGTTGGCCCCAGGTCAAGTCTGATGAACTAAATTGGCCCTCTCACTAAAACATCTAGTGACTGTTCCCAAGATCAAGAGACAGAGATATGTTAGGATAAGATGTAAATTAGTAATATGGGCAAAATAAATAGATAAAGTGACACTTGTATATTATATTGCACATTCTGACATTGCAGTATTGCACATGATTGCCGTATTTACATACTACAGAGGAACAACATGTGGAGGGTCAGCAGTTCTCCTTGTACAGTCTGACAGGGGAAAGAAGAAAATAAAGTTCCTTCACACAGCGGGGGTGGATCAGTCTGTCACTGAAGCTGCTCTCCAGAGCTGACGGCGTGTCCTGCAGGGGGCGCAGTCATGGTGCAGTATAGATGGAAGTTTGTCCAGGCAACTCCTGACCCAGATCTTCGGTCAAATGCAAATCCAACAACTAACTCTTCTTAAGTGGCATGTGTGGTCAAATTACAAATGCTGAGACCTCTCCTCCTCGCTCTCCAATCCGTGTGATCATATGTCTGACCCTCTTTGCCTTCGGATGAGTCGTATCTATGTGCCACCTGTTTATGAGCTTAACCTGTGCAACCTATCCGCTACCTGGCTGAGTGAGGAGCGAGCACATGATGGCTGTTGGATTAATGTCCTGATCCCTGGGTATCCTCAAACCGGATCGTCCAAGAAACCAATCCCTCAACTTGTCTTGATCACGTCCACAAGTGTGTTGGCGGCCATCTTTCTTTTTTTTCTTTTTTTCTTTTTTTTTTTACAATCTGCTTTCTCTGGATTGCAGGTCAGACGGACAGGCCTCTCCTCCTCCCACTTTTTTCCTTCATCACAAAGAGAGGCTGCTTTACGAGGGTCTGGCTGCAGTAAAAGCCAGGGGTTGTAAGGGGGCACAGAAGGCTGTCAGGGAGGATGTAAATTACACAAATAAAAGTCTACAGTGGCACTGCGCTTCCCCAAGAGAGAGGGAGAGAGAGAGAGAGAGGAGAAGGTGGAGGAGAGAATGTGTTTACCAAAACTTCACAAAAGGCAGGAAAACTATAGGAAAGTAAAAGTGCAAGAAAAACAAACGTTGGGGAAAATAGTTCTTTCGCTCTGAAATTTATGCAAGAAATGGTGGAAAAACTTTGCACAGTTCCATCATTCAGCACTTTGCAAAGACTGGGACTATAACTCAGACAGTGCACACTTTCCTCACCGTCTCCCATCCTTCCTGATTCACTCCTCAAGTTTAGTTTGTTTTTCCAAATACTTTTACACAGAAGAAAAGATACTTTAAACAGGTTAGTTCAAAGTTGTTTATCGTTGGTGTTGTGTGGAGCTCAGACATCTATCGGACTCGGCCACGACAGAACCTTCTTAACAACTAGGTCGGCACGGTGGCTGAGTGGTTTGCACTCTCGGTCCTGGGTTCGAATCCCGGTCGGAACAGGGCCTTTCTGAGTGGCATTTGCATGTTCTCCCCATGTCTGCATAGGTTTCTTCCAGATGCTCCTGTTTCCCCCCAGCACTAAAAACATGTACGATAGGTCTGGCATGCACCTCCTGTCTGGCGCCCTCGCTCCCATCTCTCCCAGACACATACCCACGACTATTGTAAAGCGTTTTGTGACTCTGGTCTGTGGAAGGCGCTATATAAATAATGATTACTTACTTACTTAGGTTAACATAAGAGAGTAGATTGTCCAACCAACATCAGCTGCACCATTATCCAATACATTTTCCTGGATCAGTTCAGACGTTTATAGGTTGTGACTGGGATCTTGTGAAACAGACAGAAGACATTGTCGATGGTAGAGACTAGACCAAAAGAGGCTACAGAATCTGTTGTGTGTTTATGATATCAGCATAGCATAATCAGTCCAATCAGTTGCCCGATGCCAGTGGCTTTGGCCTTGAGAAAAACCAAAGCAAGTGGAAAAGTACCAGCTCCAGCGTGTGTTGTAATGCGGAAGCTTTAGCCACAGTTGCTTCAAAGTGTCATGAAATAACCAAAGTTGTATAATCAGTGACGTGAGAATGTCCTTTTAGATTAGGCGTGTCCAAACTCAGGGCCACGGGACAATTACAGCCCTCTGTGTCATGTCATGGGACCCTCTCTGCAGTGTCATTCAGCCAACTTCAGCTCTGCCAGCATAGACTTTTGGTACTTCATTGTGACGCGTAGATCTCTGGAATCCAGTCATTGACTTCTTTGACTGAAATGACATTTGTTTTGATTGTATACAGTACCTGCGAGAAAACATATGTCATTCAGCTAACTTCATCTCCATCAAATGTGAACTAATACAGACGTGTCATAGTTCATTTTAAACTTCAGAACAGCCCAAATCCATTTCTGTTGTCAAACGTTGTGAACTAAAGTAGCCCCGGTTTAGAACGATGTGGCTTTCAGGGCTGTGCAATTAATCATTACCAAATATAAATTGCTATTATAGTCTGGCAATCATTTGGGTTCCTTCAACAACAACACAAATGCTTACATTGAAGTACTCACAAAGTTAAGGACAAAATATCTTTCCAACAGAACTAGTATCTTTAGTCTAATTTTATGCACAGTTGCCTTTTGTTCTTTTTGCTTGTTCCAACTTCCATCGGCAAATCTACTTTGTGACGACATTAGACATTACACACATATATCGTAAACCGCATCACAAAGTTCAGAGGTTTTGTGCGGCGGCCTCTGCATCTCCTGCCATTGTTACGCACACACTGTCTCAGAGCGGTCTTTGTCATGTACAGCCACCCAGAGGGGCACGTGAGGGGCAGCTGGCTCCTCTTAAGCAACCCACAGAGAGAGGCCAAATCTGCTGCAGACGCAAGTGACGGATTGTGCGGAAACATTGATCTGTGATGGCCTTTTGAATATTAGGTAATGTGCCTGCGTGCCATCCCCTCAGCAGCAGAACAAGAGGAGCGTTATCTACAGTATGGACGAGGCCTGGAGCCCAATGTAGAAGCAGATAACACCACTCCTGATAACGACAAGGCTTTTTGTGCGGTTAAATTAAATCAAAATGTGTTTGATGATGACACACACACTTTAAAAGCTCCCATTATTCTGCCCTGGATGCGCTTTTCTGCTTTTGCTGCTATTTCGTAACCATGCTTACAGAGTATGTTTTTCTCCTCTGCAAATAACGGCCTAATGGATATTCAAGTAGAGGCTCAAGTGGACAAATACTTATTTCACAGAAGTAGCAGTGCGTCTATGGGTCTTCTAAATGAAAAAATCAGACCAAACAAAACCCTTGGCATTCTGTTATTAAAGGTCGTTTAACCTCATTTGTGGCTTGGACCGTCTGCATTTATTCTCTGCATTTAGCGAAAAAAACACAGACATTCGTTGGACTGAGTGGATTGGAGTCTTTTTGGTCTGTTTTAGACCAGACATGTCCAAACTCAGGCCTGCGGGCCAATGGCGGCCCTCTGTGTCTGTATGTGGCCGTCTGCCGCTAACAAAAAGTAGTCTTTGAAAACACAGCACAGGCCACAGTGTCATCCAGCCAACTTCAGATCGACCATTATAATAATGCTAAACCTCACAATCTCTAAAATTCCGCTGTCGACCGCTGTATTTGTGTGTATACTCACATTTGTTTTGGATCGTGAGAGATGGTAAACTTAATTAAGATGAAGATTCTTTATTCGTCCTAAAGTGGGGAAATGTCAGTGTTGCATCACCAGTTACAGAACAGTAGGAATGAGGAGCACACAACACAAGATAAAAGAACAATAACTTTAAACTGAAATAAATAATAAACACATTTTAACAGAATAAAAAAGCAAGTATAGAATGCTGTATATTCTAGTTCTAGATCTATATTGTTATATATAGTTTAGAGATTTCATGACACTTTGAAGCAACTGTGATTAAAGTTCTAACTCATCATTCTAACATATGCACAAGTCGGTACTTTTCCACTGCATGCTTTGATTTCGCTTGGCCTTCAGAAATCAAATACTATAAATACTATCAAATACTCAAATACTGCTATCATTCTGTAACATATTTGTTCGTGCTGTCTCTACCAACGACAGTAAAACATTCTTCTGTCTGAATTAAAGACACAGTCCCAGACTTTGACATCTTCTTCAATAGTTGTATGTTTACATCTTTACATGTAAACACTGTGGACACATGTGGTTCTACATTGCACATTAGTCATTCATCCAACTTCAGCTCTGTTATAGCTCATTTTAAATCTTAAAACAGTCCAAATCCAGTCAAAACGGTTTTAC